ATGGAGTAGGTGGAGGAAGGCCTCAGGCCTTTTGAGGGATCAGGCCCCACACCAAACACAAACAAAGAAGTGTTCTTCACCTCCAGATGTCCTCACTCACCCCACCACAATTTAAAGTGTCAGTTCAACCTGACATTCTGTCATCGTTACTCCCACCCTCATGTCATTCCCAAACCATAAGACTTTAGTTTATTTTCAGAACACAAATGAAGATATTTTTAATGTTGGGATGTCCGGTTTTGTTCCCGACGGCCAACATCCTGCAGAGTTGAACACATTTACCTTAAAGTTTCAGAGGACCATTATTAGTTCAGGTCAGTTTAGTTAGAGTTGTAATTAAACTCTGCAGAACTGTTTGGACTAGGGATGTCCTGATCAGGGGTTTTTTTTGTCCTTGAGTCCGAGTCATTTAATTTTTAGTATCTACCGATATTGAAACCCAATCCGCTACTTCTATAATACATTAAAAAGAATAAAGAAGAGCAAAGAAACAGATCCAGAATGCTCCTTTTTTTTTAATTCACCTTATTTTAACTTTCAGCAACTCTGTTAACAAACAGAGCACTTCTGTGAGGTAGCCTGAACAAATCAAGTAATAATTAACATACATTTTTCACTTATGGACTTTATTGCAACAGTAAATATAAAAAAAATCAAATATAAAACAAATAGCTCCTCAAAATAAAATACCCGGCAGACAATCCAAAGTTTACATATCTCACAGTCTACTATGGCAGTGTTGTCGTCATCAACTTTATTATACTTCAAGCTTTCTGCTTTAAGTTGCTTCTGTGTTCTACTTTTCCAGCATTTAACCAATAGTGTCTCTGCAATAAAGTGATGTCATGCTGCACGTGTTGCTGTTTCTGTGTCAAGAAAGAGGTCTAACTCTGTGCCACTGCATATGGATGTGTCAAAAAATAATATTCAAGTTCTGATTAGAAGGTAACATGCGATTCCGGTCGAGTCTGAAACTGCATGATCGGGCCCGATTTCCGATCATGTGTTCGGATCTGGACATCCCTTGGACACCCCTGTTTTACCAGTTTATCAATTCTGTTATTGAATAAATTTGTTAAAACAATCTCATATAACTATTATATCCTGACTTTTTATAAACGTGTGTATAATTAATTTTAACATTGTTGTTTTATTAAAATGACAGTTTTTTTTACTTGAATGCTCATAATGGCCAAATTAACCACATGCAGAAAGTATACTTTATCCCAGGCCTTATTTGCATGCGTTTGCTGTTTCGGGGGTGGGCAATCTTATTTTTAAAATGTCAAAAGCTTTGATTTTAAAAATTATTTTATTTGACAAATATCGGCAGCATGGTGGCTCAGTTGTTAGCACTGTTGCTTCACAACAAGAAGGTCACTGGTTCGAGTCCCGGCTGGACCAGTTAGCATTTTGTGTGGAGATTGCATGTTCTTTCCATGTTCTCTTGGGTGCTCCGGTTTCTCCCACAGTCCAAAGACATGCGGTATTTAATTTTTAACATTTGGTGCATGGGCAAAAAGCTATAGAGCTGGACAGGTGAACATACAGAAGAAATATGTGAATGAGCGTAATGGGTTTTATATATATATATATATATTTTAATATTGTACAAATGGTAATAATGACTGGGGACCAAACTGTTCAATTGCTATACAAACACAAAGGTTTGTAAAATAAAAAGTTGGATTATGGGCAAGGAACGGTAACAAAACTGAGACAACCACAAGTGTAGCCCTGTACAAACCATGTTATATTAATTTATTCATTTTCTTTCGGCTTAGTAGCTTTATTCATCAGGGGTCACCACAGCAGAATGAACCACCAACTTATCCAGCATATGTTTTACACAGCGGATGCTCTTCCAGCTTCTTTTGAGTAATGGGAAACACCCATTCACTACACTACGACCAATTTAGCTCATTTAATACACCTGTAACAAATGTCTTTGGACTTTGGGGGAAACCGGAGCACCCGGAGTAAACCTATGCAAAAATGGGGCAAACTCCACACAGAAATGCCAACTGACACAACTGTAACTCGAACCAGCAACCTACTTGTTGTGAGGTGACAGAGCTAACCACTGAGCCACCGTATCTACCAACTTAGTCCCTTTATTAATCCGGGGTCGCCACAGCGGAATGAACCGCCAACTTATCCAGCATATGTTTTTACGCAGAGGATGTCCTTCCAGCTGCAACCCATCTCTGGGAAACATCCACACACACATTCACACACACAATTTAGCCTACCCAATTCACCTGTACCACATGTGGGGGAAACCGGAGCACCCGGAGGAAACCCACGCAAAGGTAGGGAGAACATGCAAACTCCACACAGAAACACCAACTGAGCCGAGGTTCGAACCAGCGACCTTCTTGCTGTGAGGCGAAAGCACTACCTACTGCGCCACTGCCTCGCCCGTGTCTCCCAACTATATTATAAAATAACAAATTTTTTCTTTTTCAATAATCTGTATATCTTTTGTCTGTTACCACCCACTGATGTTCCTGAGTGTGAGATACAGATGCCATGATGATGCACCCTGGAAATGAGCTCTCTGTCACAGGCCAATTAGACCAGCAGTGTCAGTGTCCTCAGAGCAATATAGCATACAAACAGAAGTCTATCACACCACACTGTGAGACCCTGTGCTCAAACAAGTAAATAGTTTTAAAAAAATGAAGAGGGAAAAAAAAGTTTGGCGTTTTCATTGCAACTATAAAAATGAGTGTTTATGGATGTTATTAAGAGACATCTGTCATTCATTTTCCTTTAGCTTAGACCCTTTATTTATCAGGGGTCACGGAATGAGCCGCCTACTTATCCAACATGTTTTACACAGCGGATACCCTTCAAGCTGCAACCCAGTACTGAAAAACACCCATACACTATCACAATCACGCATACACTATGGTTAATTTAGTCTATTTAATTTACCTGTACTGCATGTCTTTGGACTGTGGGAGAAAGTGAAGTACTCTAAGGAAACCCACACGAACACAGAGAGAAAATGGAAACTCCACAAAGAAATGTCAACTGACTCTGGGATTCGAACCAGTAACCTTCTTGCTGTGAGGCAAGAGTGCTAACCACTGAGCCACTGTGTCGCTCAGAGACAGCTGTAGTCATTTGAAACATTTGTTATATGTACAATATCTACTGTTATTGTTGCACTATTTTTTATTGGAGTAACTTTTTAACAGTCTGCATAGGCTTTGGCAGTATTGGTTTCTTTAATCATAGCTACAATAAAGATAGCAGTTTTCAGTTCATTTAGTTTGTTGACGCCCTGACTTACAGGAACCCTGCAAAATTACAGGGAGATTGTGTACTCTAAAGACCAAAACATAAGGAAATAACATGTTGAGAACACTGAAAATTACATGGTGGATTTAACTGAAAATTGTATAATGGGCATAACATCAGATTGAATGTATGGAATAGGTGTAAATTGTAATGTGGTATATTAGTGAATTTGTTTTAGCTATGTATAGCGTTACTACAGCTAGTTGTGCATTGTATTTCTGTAAACAGTAAAATATTTTTCAACTAGAAAAGCTGTAGGTCACGTTAATTTGAGTATGCTTAAAATATTGCCTTAAAAGTAATTGAGATTTTGATATGTATATAAAGAGAACATCAAGTAATTTATTTCTGTGTGTGCAAAAGAAATCCAGATTCGTACCTTAAATCTCACATCTCCTGTGCACCTAACAGCATTCCCCATCTAGAGAAATAAAGAGACCTTTGTTTGAAGTAGAGAACAGGTAACCATTTGTGCAGTGTGTTTTAGGGTTTAGTTGTGCAGTGTGTTTGTTGTAGAGATGTGGGCAAAGTTTTTATCAGGACTGAAGGTCATATTGTGTGTTACCTGAGCCTTAACATGCGTGTGTGTGAATATGTTTGGTTGTGGATCATGTTGAATCGTGCAGTTGGATTTAGCTGTGTGTACATTCAGCTTTCAAAGAGAAACTGAGATGGGGGGAGCTTGAGTTCCTTTGTGTTTTCTCAAAAAATATATGGACAAAGGATATTGTGTGAGGGTACAAATATTTTCAATAGATATTTCAGCATCATAACATTAACAATAGTTTATTTAGTTTTGCCTTTTTATTAACTGCTTTATGACAAACAGATGCCCTAACTGCACACAAGGTAGTTTAAGGCACTTAGGGGCAACTAAACCAGCACCTTTGGATGGATTTGATCTTCAAGTTTAGAAAACATCTCTTTTTATTTCATGGGTCAGCGAATAAGGCAGATGTGGGTCATAAGCACTGACAGTTTGCTTAGCCTTCATCGCTTTAATAGCCCAAGAAATGTCATAGCGCAAGCTATCTCAAGCTTGCCTGTCCCTCAGGGCAAGACACTGAATACTAATAAGCATTGCTTCTCCCATGACCCAGATTTGTTTGGGTAAACAGAGAGCTGTTTGGAAACATGGGAAATATGTACGAAAAAAAATCTTCTAAGATGACCCTCTTAGTCGGGGTCTTTTTTATAAAGCATTCCATCTCAGGTATAGGCTGTTAGCAAGACTAGACACTTGCCCATTATCATTTTTGGACTGATTGGAGTGTCCTCATGTGACTGACTTGACATCTTCATCCTAAAGCTGCATGACTGAAGCAGTTTCGAGAAAGGGATCCAGCTGTAAATGATGTAGATAAGTATAGGGGATGAGGACTGCATGCTGTGCTCTTTAATTAGAACAGGAAGACGCAGCGGCAGCGACTAAGCCAAGTCTGTCATGGGGGAAGAGCAGAGCCTGTTCAGTCAGACTTAACTTTACCCAGTGGAGGACCAAAACCAAAGAACTGCGCCAAGATGAGCCAAGCTTTACTGTACATATATATGTGCTGGCACAATATTAATAAAAATGAGACAGTGGAATCCACTCCTTTGTGCTCAATTTATTTTCCTTTGTACTCAAAATAAAGATGCGCTATAATATCTAATATTGTTTCTGGTTTCTTTGTTTCTCAATTGTTTTGCAGTACCCATGTGCCATCTGAGACATGCTTCCTGGCTATGGAATCTCTCCTCTTCTTGATTTCCAGCCTCACCTCCAAGCGTTCCATTGCAGAGGCGAGAGCTCTGACATGTGGTTCCCAGGCTCAGTTGAGACCCAGGCACTGAGCGATTCTCGGGAAGGAAGGCCTCTCCTGCGGCAGCACCAACACATTGCTGTGTGTCAGCAAGAGACATTGGCCTTCATTGACCTTCAAGAGCAAAGTGTTAATGGTTTCCAATCATGCACATCAGAAAACTGTAGTTCCTCTCTTTGCTCCAAGCCTCTCAGATGCAATGGAAGGAGTCCATCTGACTTTGCCAAGACTGAGAGTACAGACAGAGCACTAGACGATTATTTGACAGAGGATATCAATAATGTGGAAGTGGTTCAGGAACAGTCATGGACATACATTACTGGCTTACCTGAGACAGTTCATGAAAATCCTGATTCAGGAGTTAAGGGTCTCAATCCTCGGAATTTATTTCTGCCTTTGTCCCCTATATATGCACCTGGAGACAGGAACTCTTTGGAGTCTCAGCAGCTAAGCTCCCCCTCTTCCCCTTTAGAGGGTCCAGACCCATTTCGCCCTCAAAGACGCACCTCTTTGGGATCAATAAAAGAGAAGTCTATAAGTAAGTGCCTTCACGTTTAACTAAGTCTTAGCATACTGGTCCTAAATTCCAGCTTTACAACCACAAATAGCGTCATAGTGTCAAATTTGTTAGTTCTTGAAACTATGCAAACTTTCGAATACTTTATGCTGCTTAGTGAGGTACACAATGACAGTAATTCTTTAACCCTGTACCAAGAGTCTGCTCTACTAATGAATACTGTGACTGAATAAAATGGCTTAGATTAGGGATATGTCAAAAACCTTGAACTGCTGAAAGAACTACAGGAACAAAGTTTTAACTACTGTGCTACAGTGACTGTGTTAAAACTACAAAGGAGTCTAACAAATTTAATTTAACATTTTTGTCATTAATAGGGCGTAAGATGAGGGTGTATTCTCCTGACACTCTAGAAGCGTCTCCCAGCAGCCCAGGTGTAGAGTGTGATTATCTGCTTCCAGCATCCTTTGAGTCATTCGTAGAAGGAGGGCTTGGCATGGTGGGATCTACCATACCCACATCCCAGACTTCCAGCCCCCTTCCAGGCTTAGACGAAGACCTCTCTCTTTTTGCCATACCAAACTCTCCAAAACCTTTCTTAAATCCCCTTCAGGAGGGTGCCAGATGCCAAGAGGGTGTAAATGACGAGGGGAGGCAGAGGTTAGGCCTGGAGGATTGTGGAACTTTGCAAGGCCCTCCCCTCAACAGTGGCACCTCGATGCCTCTGTCCCGTTCTCGTTCAGTAGACAATGAGCGCCGGCGCTTCTCTGCTTCTGAGCTCATCTCTCGCCTTCAACTCTCTCAGAGGAAAAACTCCTTTACACTTAAGCTGGGCAAGTCTCTCTCTGCTCGCGTGGCCTCCCGGGAACGCCACCTGTCTGGAAACCTCAGCTCAGACTGTAAGTGACTCATCAGGACTGATTAACCTAATGAAAGCCTTTATTGTGAAAGTCTTGTGCAGTGATGTCATTTTCACACTTTGGTGCAGTATTTTCAGATAAGTTCCTTTTGTATACCTTCTTCCTCCCTTGTCTGTTTGTAGACAAACCCAACTCCAGACATCGCTTCTCAGGGGGATCAAGTGACAGTGGACCACATAGTCCGGTGGGGTCTGCACCACCACTGCCCTCTGCTGACAGTAATCAGCCACTGCACCGAAGGAGCTCTAAGCAAAGGTGGCCCTAAAACTCAGCAAGCACCAACAGAAACCAGTAATTAGAATATGATGTGTTAAAATGTATTCTACGGTTTCTTCTCAGAATGAGAAAAGTTTCTGTTGATGAGGATGGAGGCAGCCCTCCCAGTAACTCTAAACGTCTTTCGCGTTTCTTGCCAAGCTGTAAGTCATAAACACACTTATTTAATACTACTACTACTACTAATTACTATTATTGTATTTGTGTATCAATTATCAGTTTTCTCTTTCCCTCTCAGTGATTTTGTATCAGGAATACAGTGACGTTGCCATCAACAGGGAGATACAGAGGCAACAAGGGGCAGAGCCAGGAACCGATGAAGAAAGAGGGGAGTCTGTGTCTCCTGGAAACCTCTCCCCATCCAGCTCATTCCGCTCATCACGAGGCTCGGCCTTTTCCTTATGGCAAGATATTCCTGATGTTCGATCAAGTGGACAACTTGACAATTTCAGCAATGAAGAGCGTAAACTACAGGAGGTGAGTCCACACTCAGAAATTTGATTTGATTTAGAGTTTCATCAACCAGCACATTTTGCTAAAAAGTTACATCTTGACTTTTTTTCCCTTTCAGGCAAAGTTTGAGTTGGTGACATCAGAGGCCTCATACATACGGAGCTTGTCTATTGCAGTTGACCATTTTATGATGTCTTCTGAGCTATGCGAGTGTCTTGGGACACAGGAGAGGCAGTGGCTCTTCTCCAAACTGCCTGACGTGAAAGAAGTCAGTGAGAGGTGAATATATATGAAAAGTAATTACAATTGTTGATATTTTTGAAAGTGTATGCTAACTTCTGAGATGTGCTTCATTGCAATGCCTGTTTCTTTCTGTCTCTTGTTAAATTTACTTTATGTTTTTAGGTTCCTTCAAGATTTGGAGCGTAGGTTAGAAGGAGACATTTTACGGTTCGACGTGTGTGACATTGTCCTTGACCACTGTCCTGCACTGAGGAGGGTTTATCTGCCTTATGTCACCAATCAGGCCTACCAGGAACAGACCTATCAGCGACTACTGTAAACCATTTCTGACTGTACAACAGTGCTCTAACAAGCATAACAATGTGCATATTGCAAATGTTGCCATGTTTAAGCAGTTCTTAAATTTTCTTTGTGGTGTTTTCTTAGGCAAGAGAATGCCCGGTTCCCTGGGATCCTTGCCCGCCTGGAAGAGGACCCAATATGCCAGAGGCTGCCTCTTACATCATTTCTCATTCTTCCTTTTCAAAGAATCACACGCCTCAAAATGCTAGTGGAGGTATTTCATCATGCATGTCCAATGCGATAGTGACAGTTATCTGTATCCCTTGTTATTTTCCTGTGCTAATGAGCTGTGTTTCCTTAAATAGAATATCTTAAAGAGAACAACGCCTGGGTCACGAGATGAGGACACTGCCACCAAAGCACTTAATGAGCTCAAAAAGGTCTGAAAAGCAGTTGAAGAAAGAAAGAAACGGTCACAAACATTGTTTTAAATTACCATAAAAAAATGAAAATGTGTTCTGCTGCACTAGATTATAAAGGAATGTAACTCCAGTGTCCAGTCCATGAAGAGAATGGAAGAACTAATTCACCTAAACAAGAAAATTCACTTTGAGGGCAAGGTATAATATCAAACATTGCTTAACCTACTGTGTATCATGCAAGGGTGACATGCACCAGTTATAAATTTATTTGCTGACAAGCCAGTGAAAGTCCTGCCTCACTTTGTACCTTTCAGAAAGTTCTTTTTGGCCACTCAATTCCTTTGAAAACTGAAGTGTTATTAAATAAGCATCTCAATTTAAGGGTCTAAAATGGTCTGCTATAACTTTTTAAAAGTTTTAAAAACATGTTGAATAGGCACAACACTTAAAATATTCTCTTTATCGTGGTTTAAAATGACAAGTTAGTCAATATTTGTTTTCTCTCATTTTAGATTTTCCCTCTCATCTCTCAGTCTCGCTGGCTGGTCAAACATGGTGAACTGCTAGAAGTAGACACACAGAATTTGAGTATATCTGGATCTAAGTTTAAGCTTACCACCCGGCCAGTGTACCTGCACCTGTTTAATGACTGTCTTCTACTTTCCCGAAGGAAGGAGTAAGTCTTATTTGAAAATGGGGCCGATAAAATGCACTACCTAACAAAAGTATTTTCTTGATCTCAGTTGTAGGAGCAACAAATAATAACTTGACTTTTAATTGATCATTTGGAAAAGTGGCAGAAAATAGATTTTTTCCAATGAATCATCTGTTGAACTGCATCCCAATCATCACAAATACTGGAGAAGACCTATTGAAACCCACATGGACCCAAGATTCTCACAGAAATCAGTCAAGTTTGGTGAAGGAAAATGATTTGGGGTTACATTTAGTATGGGGGCGTGTGAGAGATGGCAACATCAACAGCCTTCATACTTCAGCTTCCACATCAAAGTTCATGAAAGCAAAGAAAGTCAAAGTGCTCCAGGAATGGCCATGCCAGTCGCCAGGCATGAACATTATTGAAAAAGTCTGGGGTAAGACGGAGGAGGAGGCATTAAAAATTAATCCAAAGAATCTTGATGAACTCTAGGAGTCCTGCAAAAAAGCTTTCTTTGCCATTCCAGATGACTTTATTAATAAGTTATTTGAGTCACTGAAAAGATGTATGGATGTAGTCATCCAACTCATGGGAGTCATACACAATATTCATTATTTTTCAACAGCATAATGACTTCATATTCTATACTGTACATTATTTCTGTTAACTGACAAGACTTTTGTCAAAGCAAATTCTGACCTTACTGTCCTAATTAAATAATTAAAAATCAAGGCATGATCATATTTTCTTTTGGTAAAATGCCTTTCATATAAGCCATTTCTGATACATAATAATCAACTAGAAGTCAAGTAATTATTTGTTGTCAGGTAGTGTACTAGAAAACTAGCAAAGGTGTTCTTCAATGTCCAATGTACTATAAAAATCATGAAGCCAAACCAGGTATTGAAAACTCAATCTATAATTACTTAATCTATATCTAGTTATCTATAAAATCCCCTTCTTTTCCGTCACAGGTCGTGGAAGTTCATGGTGTTCGTACATGCAAAAATTGAAGACCTCAAGGTGAAAGACCTAAGCCAGAAACTTCAGGGAATCTCAGGCTTCATCTTCTATCTGCAGTTATGTGAGGGGCAACAGCTAAAACACCAAATTCTGCTCAAATCACCCACAGAGTGAGGACATTCACATCATTCACAAATTTGAACATCCAAAATCCTGTCAAATGACAAATAGATCTGAGTTTTCCGAGAAAATGTCTTCACAGGACACACGTCAAGAACATTTTGTTTTATATGTACTGTAGGAGCAGCAAACAGAGGTGGATCACAGCCATGTTTCCCTCCGATCCAACGACAGCTATAGAGCAGACCAATGAGAATGATGGTATGTAATTTCTCTGTGTAGAAGATAGTCCAGATACTTTATAGTGATAGTCAAAAGTCTGGCTACAGTCTTTAAAAGGGTCTGTTTTGCCTGTAAAGTCATTAGTTATTTAACTGGCATAACATTGAAAACAAAGTAGAATACACAGTTCTGTTCAAGAATATCCTGTTTACTTGGAAACTAAGTACCTCAAATAAAACTCTAAGGAAAATAGTTCACCCAAAAATGGAAATACTGTCTCATCATTTACTCAACCTCATGTACTACCAAAGCTTTATGACTATTTATTCTGTAAAGATGGATGAATTCAATACACAATACAATGAAAAAAAAATCTGTGTTTTACAGAAAAGTAATAGCATACAGGTTTAGCAAAGTAAACAATGACTGACAATTTTGTGGTGAACTATGTTTTTTAGGGGATAGATGAAAAATTATAACTTGCTGTTAATTTACTGACAGGAAAACCACATACATTTGTGATACTGGATACTAGAACAAGTCATAAGAGTGTTACAAATTGGAAATTGATATTTATACAATAAATTAAACAAGCTGAATAAATAAGCTTTCCATCAATGTTTGGTTTGTTAGGTTGAAATGTATTTGCCTAATATTCAACTATTTGAATATCTAAAATCTGAGGGTTCAAGAAAACATCTTAATACTATAAAAACTGCCTTTAAGATTGTTTAAATTTAGCTTTTAGCAATGTATATTGCTAATAAAAAATTACATTTTGATTTATTTTCAATAGGACATTTACAAAATATCTTAAACATGAATACTTAACATTAAATATTCGATTTATTATTTTTTTAAATTTTATTTAATTTTATTTTTTTAAACACAACTATTGAACATTATTTAAAGATTTACAATGACGGAACAGTGGTATAGGTGTCTCAGAACATCATATGAAATAATATAGCGATCTAGAGTGCATCCGGAAAGTTTTCATAGCGCTTTACTTTTTCCACATTTTTTATGTTACAGCCTTGTTCCAAAATAGATTTAATTAATTTATTTCCTCACAATTCTACACACAATACCCCATAATGACATTGTGAAAAAAAAGATTTTTTGAAATTGTTGCAAATTTATTAAAAATAAAAAACCTAAGAAATCACATGTACATAACTATTCACAGCTTTTGCTCAATACTTTGTTGATGCACATTTGGCAGCAATTGCAGCCTTAAGTCTTTTTAAATATGATGCCACAAGCTTGGCACACCTGTCTTTGGGAATTTTTGCCCATTCCTCTTTGCAGTACCTCTAAAGCTCTATCAGGTTGGATGGGAAGCGACGATGTACAGCCATTTTTAGATCTCTCCAGAGATGTTCAATAAGATTTAGGTCTAGGCTCTGGCTGGGCCGCTCAGGGATATTCACCGAGTTGTTGTGAAGCCACACCATTGATATTTTGGCAGTGTGCTTTGGGTCATTATCCTGCTGGAAAATAATCCATCGCCCCAGTCTGAGGTCAAGAGCACTCTGAAGCAGGTTTTCATTCAGGATGTCTCTGTACATTGCTGCATTCATCCTTCCCTCTATCCTGACTAGTCTTCCTTGTCCTGCTGCTGAAAAACATCCCCTCAGCCCGATGCTGCCACCACCATACTTCACTGTAGGGATGGTATTAACCTGGTGATGAGCGGTCCCTGGTTTTCTCCAAACGTAACGCCTGGCATTCACTCCCAAGAGTTCAATTTTAGTCTCATCAGACCAGAAAATTTTGTTTCTTATGGTCTGAGAGTCCTTCAGATGCCTTTTGGCAAATTCCAAGCAAGGAGTGTCTTCCGTCTGGCCTCATTGGTAGATTGCTGCACAGATAGTTGTCCTTCTGCAAGGTTCTCCTCTCTCCACAGAAGAACGCTAGAGCTCAGACAGAGTGACCATCGGGTTATTGATCACCTCCCTGACTAAGGTCCTTTTCCCCCGATCACTCAGTTTAGATGGCCGGCCAGCTCTAGGAAGAGTCCTGGTGGTTCCAAACATCTTCCACTTATGGATGATGGAGGCCACTGTGCTCACTGGAACTTTCAGAGCAGTAGAACTTTTTCTGTAACCTTCCCTGGCCTTGTGACAACAGAATGTACCAGAGCTCAATTTAGAGCTTCACAGCAAAGACTGATGATATTTGAGGAAATAAATTTATTTAATCCATTTTGTATTAAGGTTGTTGCATAAAAAAATGTGGAAAAAGTAAAGAGCTATGAATATTTTCTGGATGCACTGTATTATACAAGCATCAATTGGCTAGTAATTCAAGTCTTTTGTGAAGGGTAAAATTAACAATAAATAATTAAATAGAACTTAAATAGTCTTTTAAGATACATTCTCCAACAACTCCTATAGAAGATTTCAGATAGCCAGAAATCATCAGACTTCTGAGGCAAAATATAAGTCAGTTTTTTTTAAGGGTAAGAAAATGGCAATCTTATTTATCCACATATTGACTGAAGGATTGTTAGGAGAGGACCACAACAGAAGAATACATTTTCTTGCTAGATATGCAGGAAAGTGTAACAGATTGTAGTCCATAACTAAGGTGTAGAGCAGTTTTATAATTCACAAATAAATAACCAGGTAGGGCAAAAGGTTTACCAATAATCTTCTGAATTAATATTGTGATTTTCTTTCCAGTATGTCTTAATCATGTCACAGTCCCAGAATACATGCATCACAGTACCAACATTGAATTTGCATTTAAAACAACATTGATAAACATTGGGAAATATCTTATTAAGATGTATTGGTGTTAAATAAGTTCTGTAAAAGAATTTAAATTTTTGCTTGTGGTTTGATATTGTTGCACCTTTGAAAAATATTTCACTAAATGTTCTAAAGATTTTTGGCATTTTGATTGTGGCCTAAAATATACCTGTGCAGCATAAGGCTGGCTTGGTCAAGGGTCACATTTTGAAGTGGCTATAGGGCCTTTATAGCAAATGATAAGAGTTTTCATATTTGTTTGGAGTATTTGTTTAATATTTCTCTGCATGTGTCTCCACAGATCTATCTCAGGTCCAGTGTATCAGGAGCTACCAGGCTCAAGAGCATGATGAGTTAACGCTGGAGAAGGCAGACATCCTTCAAGCTGTAACAATTACAAGTGATGGTGAGGAAAATCATTTCCCTTCTCCTGGCTATTAAACATTATTTCTGCCCAGAACATGACGTTTTAATGATTTCGATTTACAGGGTGGGTAGAGGGGATTCGGTTGTCGGATGGAGAGAGGGGCTGGTTCCCTAAAACGTACGTGGAGGAGATCACAAGCCGCAGTGCTCGTTTGCGAAACCTCCGTGAAAACATTCGCATCAAGTGTGTCTCACAGAAATTAGAGGGAGAGACTCTCTGAGACCTTAAAGTATGGGACATTGTTTTACTTTACACATCATCTGCTTTCCCAAACCAGGATGGATCAGTACGTATTGCAATTTGTGGGCATATTCAACATTTTCATGGCTGACATTTTAGCTTTAGTATGGTTTACTGTAATCATCTAAAATGTACTGAAGATAGGATTATTAAAACTATGCATTGCATCAATGGAGGACTAAAAGTGCCACATAAAATAAAATCAATGATTGATTTATGTTGAAAATAAAACTGCATAAATTGGTTTACAGAGATTTACTATTAGAAGTTAATCATATTTATTTAGTTATTGAGTCGGGGGTGTTGCCATATGATCAGCGTCTTCTGGTAGGATGCTTCGAACCTCCGTTTAGAATTGTCAACAGCGAGAGCAGCTTTTCTCAACTGGGGTTCAATACTGTTTTGAGTGGCTTACGCAGTGTTTTTGTGATGCAAAACTCAACTACTTTTGAAAGAAAGACTTTGAAAGCTGTTATGCTTTCAAATTGCGGTTGAAGTGAGAGAAAACATTCTACTAATTCATTATCTGCCATCAGAATAAAAGTTGAAATATAACGTCAGTGTTCCTGACCTGGCAGCTGTTATAACATGTACTCTGCGGCTCTTTGATGCACACACACATCACACGCAATACGTCACTGAAAGCCAAATTACTGGCATGAAACTTAACAGGTATGCAAAATCAAAAAATTACAAATAAAAGTGTTACTGATACTATTCTGGCTGATTTGCATGTTGATTATAATTGGGAGCTGTTTATTTTTTATTTAGTTAGTTGGTAGTTTTTACCAGTGTACTGTATGCTTTTCTGCAATTTCAAAATGCCACTTTTTTTACTTTGTGACCCTTTCAGTCAATGTTTTGTGGAACAGTAAGTACATCAAACATTTTGGTGAATTACATTTGTTTGGGTTGGTTATATATTTGAAAAAAAAAGAGAAAATTATCACTTTAGTGATGACGAGGCTCCATTTTAAAGGCAGAAGATGCCGTCTGACAATGAGGGGAAAATGCCCTGCAGCAGTTGTTTTTCATCCCATAAGATCCAGGAGGTGGTGCTGACCGACAGCAGTATTAGTTCAAAAACTTTAAAGGCAAGTAAAAATAGATTAAAACTATTATTTCAAAGCTGTCAAAATGTAACTCTTTATACGCATCAAGCTGCCGAAGTTCGAAGCATCCTGCTTATGCATACTCGCAAAACATAATGGGTAATTTTGCATTCCAAGAAAAAGGTTTCTAGGTGAATTGGATTAACTAAATTGGCTGTAGTGTATGAGTGTGTGTGTGTGTGTGTGTGTGAATGAGAGTGTGTAAGAGTGCTTCCCAGTACTGGGTTGCACCTGGAAGGGCATCCGCTTTGAAAAACATATACTGGAATAGTTGGTGGTTCGTTTCTCGGTGGAGACCCCTCATAAATATAGGGAATAAGCCAAAGGAAATTGAATGAATTTTGTATTTTCATATTAATCAATTATTGTCTGTCCTCCATGATATTTTGCACTTCAGGTTTTAAGTAGCTCTTCAAGGTTTCTTTCTAACCTTCGCTTCCACCAAAACTGCAAGTGTTGTTACCGCATGTAGCATACGGCGCTGTGCTTTCTGACAGATGCACGCTGCTCAAAATACAGCTGTCCAAGGATCATCATGTGGGTGGACACAATCTGTCAGCTGCTAAAATGTTTAGCAAAATAACAAGATGCAATTTACAGTAAATGGTTTAGGTGCTACAGCAGCCATTTGACTCTCAAGTATTTTATTAGGACCTCGCTCTCTTCTATCTAGCTGCTCGGATAGTATATAAAGTGAGATTTCTTGTTATTAGTAGATTCACTAAACAGCCGCACAATAAAAAGCTGAACATTCGCTTTAAATAGTGGAATATTGGAACCAAATTTTGGTCTTTTTAAATGATGTTGCAACATTAATTTTAGCTTATGCCACTAGTCCTCTGTAGATTATCTTTACTTAATAATAATGAATAGTGTTGGCATAATAACAGGAGGAGTACTTCAAATGATGACCGTTATTTATATCAGTGATTCTGCTGTTTGTGTATTTGATGTTTTGGTAATGCAGATTTTATTTGGGCAATTTCTTTGTGGAATTCTGATATCCTAAGCATGTTAAATTCCATTTGAAACATTATCAATTATAGTGACTCTGTAAATAAATAAATGCATATATTCTAACAGTTTTGTGTGTCTGATTTGAGACAAATACAATGACAGCAAAAAGTTGTGTATAAAGTTAACCTTACTGTAACCAGGATTCCCAGCCACGCATGCACACAGCTACGACAAAGCATGGCTCATAAACATCAGTTTCATTCCAGGCTCACCTCATATCCTATGGGGCAATAAAGCAGCCGGGTAGCAGGTAAACAGAATAGTTTCTTTGTCACAGCTGTTCTGAGAAGCTTGAATGGTTTCCAACTGCTGTAAATCAGAGCTGAAAGGCTGCAGAAAAGAAGTTGCAGTTAGAGACAGATAAGAGACGGACTGCAGAGGCCCAGGAATGCATTTCTAATTAAAGCCATTTGTCTCAGTCAAAAATTTATTGCATTCATTTTATATAATCCTCTGTATATACAAAAACTCATCCATGCAGTTTTTCCTGCTCTAAGTTTGCAGCAGTGATTGGTGATGAATAATAAATCTGTAAATAATAAAGGAATGCATTTATTTAGTCTCTTTACGTTTTTTTTTCAACCGCTAACAAGCAACGTGCAGTACTGAAGCCACAAGTTCAACAGGAGTCTTCTGTGAATCATTTTTCATTGCTTTCACACAAAATGCATGCAACGAACACGTTGTTCAAAATTCCCAATCAGTTTTCTCATTCATGCTCTAATAAATTCATTTATACACAGCTGACAACAAAACAAGATTCAAAACAGACTGACTATAAAATATTATATAAATAAAATGTATATAAATTAATATATTAAAATATAAAAAAATATAAATTCATATTTTAAAAATCTTACCAGAAAATGACAATCATTACAAACTGATTAGAATTTCAGCTGAAAGCCTACCCAGGATTCCTGCTTTAGTCATAACATTTTTTAATTGTAAAATTTATTATTTTTTTGTAAAATGCTTGGAACTTAATTTTGTTGGGAAATATGGATCAAAAAATACAGTTTGGTAGGGAAAGAAGAGTGATATACAGTCATAAAGTGATAAAGATAGAGACATTGTTTATGGTTTTGCTATTTCTGTGCAGAATTTTGTAAAAAAAAAAAAAAAATCTGTGGAGTTCTGTGCAATGATTCAGAGAGTATAGTAACTAAAACATATAAAAGTTAAAATTTATATATATATATATATATATATATATATATATATATATATATATATATATATATATATATATATATGTGTGTGTGTGTGTGTGTGTGTGTGTGTGTGTGTGAGTATATATATTACAATGCAAATCCAATTAGAACCATTAGTTTGGTAAACAAAGTATGCCATCTAATATATCTACTAAAAGACAGAGAATATTATTTCCCTAAAAAATAAAGGTTTACACATTTAAGTAAATATATAGACTCAATGATGGGCAAAAAATCTTCAGAATTTAGAGGCTGCAGATTTCATGTGGGCCTATGGATTAATCAGTGTATTAGAATTTGTGCCCTTACTTACAGTTTTTCTCAGTCGCTTTGGTGCATTTCTCACAACACTATTTACATTTGCACAACAGGTAATGCATTTCTCAAAACAATTGGTCATTTGTGCAAATCCTAGTAGCAGTTTCTCATTTCTCCAACACATTGCAAATGCGTTTGGACATGCATCAATTGCTTTCATACAACTCTCTGCTGTTTTATAACATTATCATCTGCTTATGTCATGTCAGTCAAAATGAACTAAACTTGTAAATGCTGAATAGTCATTCCATATAAAACCAATAGTCCTTGTTTCATTACTTGAGTCATTACATACACAAATGTTGAACTAGTTGTCAAAATCTGTCTGGCAAATTTTATTTAATAAAATTAAATCTTATTTTCCTGAAAATGTCTTCAAAGTTGAACAATTTGATGAATGATTTACAGACCTGTGTATGTTGTAGGTTCAGTTCCAATATGTACTGCAATATTGTTTACAGTTGTGCTCAGCTCTACCCAGAGGAAGTTTATGTTTGTTGTAAATAAGTGTGTATTTATTATTTTGCACAATGCTGTGAATAAATTAGCATTGTAAAGAGCATGTGCAGTCAAAATGTGAAACATACATATTTATTGTCTTGTACTCAGATACCTCACTAAATGCAGTGATGTCTAACTTTACTGTAGTGTTCAAATGGCTGTGCAAATAGTATATAGTGCTGTCTTGAGCATTTTCAGCAAGTGTCAGCAAGTGACTTTTTTTGCATTGAAAAATTGTACAAAGTAAACTGTCATAATGAAAACAGGACTAAGCCATTTGACTATCTTGTTCATAAACAATGGTGTCAGGACTTTTCATTTTGATGACATTGACACTTTCATTGACATGAATACTTCCTTTTGAGGAATGAACTATCTATTTTGAGCAAGTGACGCGCTTTTGCAGGTTATCAGCTAGGTTTTGCAGTCTGCATTAACTGTTGTACAAATGTAAATAGTGTTGTGAGAAATGCACCAACGCGTCTGAGAAAAACTGTAAAAGGGATAGTTTACCCACAACTGAAAATTGTCATATTTACTCACCCTTCCCTTTTCACAAACCCGTTTTAATTGTTTAGTCTGTTGAACACAACAGAAGATATTTTGAAGAATGTTAGAAACTGGTAACCACTGACTTCCAAAATTATTTCTTTTGTGATAAACAGACAAAAAAAACAAAACAAGGTTTGTAACCATTTAAGGGTGAGTAAATAGTGAATAAATGTTCATTACTGAGGTGAATTATACATTTAACACACAAAAATGCATGTATGTGCAATGCCAGAACACAACTAACTTATTGAATCTGCTTAATCACAGACAATAAGATTAACAATGTGCTTTTAAGATTAAAAAAATAAAATAAAATAAAAATTCAAGTCACTCCAAACAAAATGTTGATTATCATTTCCTTTTTATCAATTTCTTTATTCTATTCAGTACAAAATTAATATATAAAGTCAATGGCTGTTTTCCCCCATAAGTCGTAGTTCTTTGTGTTCAGAAAAACATGTTTAGAGGAAGTAAAGAAAGAGCAAATAATGACATAATTTTTAATTTTGTTTGGATGGACTGTCCCTTTAAGGGGCATTTTGGGGTAAAAGCTCATTATTCATCTGTCTTTAGATTGCATGTCTGGAATATCACACATCTACCCTTTTTAATATGAATCTGTCTTTTTGAAGTATACCAGCTGTATGTTGGTACGCCTGTTTGGACAAACACCAAAGCTGTCTGGAGTTGGTAAAACATTTTGGCTGGAAATCAAAAGGCTGAAAGTTTAAGTCTCACCTGGGGTGATCTTGAAGTTTTATCTACATTATTCTTTGAATCTAGCTTTTGTAAATGCTTATTGCTTATGGTTTATTTTATTTCATTACATACAGTAATATATAAATGCAGGAACTGTTACATTCAACAAATGTTTTCCTTAAATATATATTCTTTTTTTAGCTTCCTTAACATAAAATCCTTATTTTATTTCCATTCTTTTTTGCTTGTTAACACGTAACACCACTGCCCTCTGCTGACAGAAACCTGCCACTACAAACATTACTCTTCACGTCACACCCCATTTGGATTATTTTTTCTTTCATTGTACTGTTTGTCAGTAGTATAACGTTAACGGCTTATATCGTTAAAAGAGAATAAGTCAAATGTAGTAGGTCAAGTAAACAAATGTTCTTGATTGTGTCACATTTTTATGCTTATTTATTTATGTTTCAGAAATATTATTCATGTTGATCACACAAGCAATTAAAGCTACAAAATACATTGTCTCAGGTTTCGAATTCAAGCGAATGGCTTTCTCTAAATTATTATTTTGTTTTTCTTAGGCTGCGCAGCATTGGTTAGTTTCGGTCTTAGTCTATTTAGTATAATTTTGTCTTGTTGACTGGTCAAGCTTGAACCTATCATGAAACTATTACGTGGTTAAAAAGTCACTGTTCCCCTGCTTTAGTAGCATCAGTTCATAGTTCCTTTTAAGTTTCAGAAGTTAAAACAACTATATTAAAGTCTTCCACCGAAACTGACTTGTGTAAACCGCAATTAAATAAGTGTATGCAAGTTGAAAAGAAACTCACTGTAGCCTATCGCTGTGGACGCCATCTTTACGGTAGACCCGGGAAAATGTTTACAGCCACCTGACACATCCACTCGTGTCGACATGGGTTATAGATTAAACCTCATTACTGGCTGCTGTGTCATAAATTGTCAGTGTTTTAAGTCTTTGTTTTATTTATGTTTTTTTCTTTTCTTATCTAAGCATGCATTTAAACTTATATCGAATTAATTTGACCAATTCTTGTTGTTTTCCCAGTAAAGGGTCGCGGCTGGAAGGGCATCCGCATAAAACATATGGATAAAGTGGTAATTATTCCGCTGTGGTGACCCCTGATTAAGGGACTAAGCAAAAAAGAAAATGAGTAAATGAATTAATTTTTGTTGTATGCAAGCCTATATGTGGAATTTATGAAACACCAAACAACAAAATTTAATAATCCCATACTTTTTAAAAATTTTTTACAAAAAAAAAAGCAACTGAAATCAATATATTCATTCATTCATTTTCTTGTCGGCTTAGTCCCATTATTAATCCGGGGTCGCCACAGCAGAATGAACGGCCACCTTATCCAGCAAGTTTTTATGCAGCGCATGCCCTTCCAGCCGCAACCCATCTCTGGGCAAAATCCACACACACATTCAGACACACACACTCATACACTACGGAAGATTTAGCCTGCCCAATTTACCTGTACCGGATGTCTTTGGACTGTGGGGGAAACCGAAGCACCTGAAGGAAACCCACATGAAGGCAGGGAGAACATGCAAACTCCACACAGAAACACCAACTGAGCCAAGGTTCGAACCAGAGACCCAGTGACCTTCTTGCTGTGAGGCGACAGCACTACCTACTGCGCCACTGCCTCGCCCCATCGATATATATATATATATATATATATATATATACATACGGCAAAATTTGCAGTGTAAACGGGATTTTACAAAATATAAGAATATTTCATTTTCAAGACACGTATTTGATAAAATAGACTATAAAGTGTTTAAAATGGAAAGTTAGGGGTAGGAGGAGGTAGGAGGGGGCCAAACATCTTTAGAGACAATTATTTAATCCTAAATGTAGCTGAATTGGATGAAATTAAAGCATATTATGTGTGATTCCCAGCACTGAGGGTTGTACTCTACAAGCATGGTCTTTGTCTTTAAACCACCTGTCACTTACACAAATATTTAATGTATATTTTTAGCTGATGTGAGTCTGAAGATAGTGTTTGGAATAAACAATCACATAACATGTTTGTCCTAAGGTAAAGTTTTCACAAATATTTATTTACACATTTTGTACATTTAAAACTTTGCATTTTTAAAAATACACATCTACATTTCTGTTAGCAGACCAGATATGCCACAGTTTATTTGTGATGCTTCTAATTAAGCAGTAAAAAGCATTTGCAAAGATTTTATAAATTTCTCCCCAAACATGACGATGGATGAAATACTTTTTAAATAGCCTCAAATACTGCCCTAAAGCAATATTAGAGTTTGTGGATTAATTTAGTGTGTGTTAAGGGCACTGAATTTGCTGTTTTTAGACCTGGGACAGACTGAAAGTGTAAGAACTGGGACAGGCCCTAAATCTGGGTTTAAACTTACCACTTACTCTGTCTGTGAACTTTCATGTGCATAATTACTAGCTTCTACCCTGCAGGAAGTGGCATGTCCATAAATAAAGACATGGGTTGGACAGAGAGCATGGGAAACCAGTGAAAAAGATTAGTTACCCAAAACCTCCCACTGTCTAAACTTTTAAGTTAAATTAATTATTACAAATTGTTTTAAAAGGAGTAACACTTTTGAAAAAAATGTTAAAAATAATAAAGAAAAAAACTGATTTTTTGGACACATATGTTGCTATTGAAACATAAATGTAGTTGAAAATGCTATTTGGTAGGGGATGTATTTTGCTCTATGTTATTTAAAGACAGTTTAGCTCAGAGAAAACTTGAACAACTTCTAATTAAATTAATTTTATACATCTTAAGCATTTATATTTATTTTATACATTGTACTTTACTGTTTGTGTGCATGTGTGGTACCTGTCTCTGTGTACACCACTCTCTACCACAGAAATGGAGCAGATTGTAACAATTACTGAGTTTCACAGCTATTGAAAACCCCTTTCACATGAGCAGTTTAGATATTTACAAAAGTATATAAAAAGCAACAGTAAAATATTCTTGTGTCCTCCTCAGCAGCTTTCATTCATAGGAATATTTGTGATGTTCACAGTCATCTTAATACCCAGTCGTCACATTATATTCAGCTCCTGCGCTTCTTCGGTATCAGAGGTGGAGGAGTGTGATGAGGCAGTGAATCTGGCATTTTATCAGGCTGTGGGAGATAAAAATAAATAAATGATTAAATAAATAAATACATTTTAAAAACTATAATAGTTTTTCTCAAGTGCTTTGGCTCAATTCTTGATTGAAATTTGCATTTTTCAAAACAGTAAGTTTAGATCTCTGAACAATTAGCTTATTATTCACATCATAATGTCATTTCTTATTGATTTAAGCAGATTGCAAATGTTTTGGTGCATGTGTGCAACCAGTAAGTACTATTGTCTGTGGTTTGGACAAGAACTGCACATGGCTTGTTGATCAAAACTTACGAGTCGATTCTCATTTAACTGGCAAACTTTTCACAACTTCTCAAACATTTTTCATTGTGTAAGCCATCACACTGAAAATTATTTATATATATATATATATATATATATATATATATATATATATATATATATATATATATATATATATACACACACATACATATATACAATCACTACATTCACAATCCTGAGCTGCAGTAATATGCTTGTGGTAGAGCAAATGCAAGAAGTGTAATCTATGTCAAGGCTAACACGAGCGACAGCATGTCCACTACAATACAGCAATTGGACAAACAAGATTGCACGTTGCATGTAATACATTTGTTAACAAATACATGTACTGTATGAATACAAATGTTCTTTTATTTTTTTATTTTTTATTTTTTATTTTTTTCAATGTCCTATTGACTCTTCTCAACAAATACCAGATTTTAATAAAAAAAACTTTAATTTCCATGGTTGACTCTCATGGTGAAACAACAACTAATGATTTTGGGCAGTGAAGCTCACATGATGACAAATACACTTTATGTTTTAGTGGCCTTAACAAAATTACTAACACAATAACTAGGTTTTTATTCATGAATAAAATGTTTTGGGTGAGTTACTACATTTTGCAGACATGCAATAAAGTTCTGAAGTTCTAGCAAATAGTTTTGAGATTTGCTTTCACAGTTTGGAGAATATTAAATCAGTTTTGAAAAATGTGCTAAAGCAATTGAGAAAAACTGTAATATATACTATAAACAATATCAGTAAAATTTTAGGCTGTATTTACATCTTGCAGCCTAAATTACAATCATTTAGTTTATAATAATGAACACAATGGAACATCTGCATGAAAAATATTTCAAATTATATTATTGGCAAAATGAGTCCCATTTTTTTATGCACAGATCAACATAAAAAGTAAAAAAATGCCCAAACGTGCATGTGAGGCCAGTAATTGACGCTGGTGTTTAAGAAACACCAGTAGCTCTTTATTTTACAGTCCTGTTTAATGTGTCTATGCACTCAGGATGTGATTCAGTTAATGCCTGGCCTGTATAAATGACATCAAAACAAAATGTGTGGGGGGTGTGCCCTTTTAATAGTGGAAAATAGTGTACACTGATCAGTATATTAAATAATAAAATTATTATAATAAAAGCAAGAATAAGTTAAAACAAATATAAATGTGACTGCCAATAATGTTTTAACATGCTCAGCAGGGATGCAGGAAAACATTAGGTAAATGGTCAAAAAGCAGCATATCTACAAACAATGAGTGTTCAAGACATTTTTTCTTGAAAAATATGCTTCTATAATCATATAAATATGCATTATCTGTATAAAAGTCAAGCTAGACTCATAGAGTGCAATTTATTGGACTACTAGATACATTAGATGTCATTAAAATGAATATATTTGGTTTAGTGATACTGTATGAACACCACAGAAAAAGCTTAGTAAAAAATTGCACACTCGATGTACTTTTCATAATCATTTAAGCGTTAAAAATGCCATTATTGTATGAATGAATGAATGAATGAATGGTCAAAATACATTAAAGGTTTTCTGTTTTAAGTTGAAAGCGGTGTCGAGGAAATCCAAAAACTGCAGTCTTGCCTGTTGTAACTGGAAGATCCAGCTTTGATAGTCCTCAGGGTAAATACAGGAGACAAGCAGAGGCTCCATCAGTTCACCTGGAAAATACATCACTCATCGTCGGCATAAATCAGCATAAAACATGAAGATTGTACTGTACAGCAGTTTAGAGAACACAGAGAAAGTGACCTGCATGAACTGTCACTTTTAGCATTTATACAAAAAAGCCTGAAAACTTAAAAGTGTACTGGCATTTTAAATGACTTGCATCTTTAACAGTTACAACAGAATGTAGCTGATAAGAGGAACATTGAGAAGCTAGTAAGTTTATCATCCCGTTGCTATTTTCTGAAGGTGATTCACAAGTTTTATGACTAACATCACTTAGTTTCTGAATTTTAAAACAGCAAAACAAGCAATGTATGCAAATATGGCACTCTTAATGTTTATGAAAGATCTTACACTATATCCTACCTCAATATCCAATATACTGTAGGATTATATCCTACCCCAGTAAAGTTAAAGCTACCCTAATGGGTTAATGTTATGCAAGAGTATTTCTTGTCTTCACATGGCCGGTCATAATGAAAAGACTGATCTGTCAGACTCTAAATAAAGTGTAGAGTGTATAGGCCATAACCACAGTGTCTAAATACTATGGATTCCCTCCACAAAGTTCTGTCTTTATAATTACCAAGTAATGGATTTTCATTTAATTGTATTCATAGTAAATTTATATAAATTTTAAAGGTTTGTCCAAATGTTTTTCAAGTACACAGATTGTTTTCACAGATTATCCCTAATCGAATTGTTTATTACTCTGTCTTCGAAAATATTTAAATATGCATGACATCACATTTGTTTTTTAATTTTGTAATAGTACAAGATTGACCTATTAAAATCAATGTGATTGGTTGAAAGTAATGAAAAAGTATTAAAGGGCACCTTTTTTTAACCCCTTTTTCAAGATTTAAGACAAGTCTTTTGTGTCTCCAGAATGTGTGTGTAAAGTTTTAGCTCAAAACACCCATCAGATTATTTGTTATACTTTTCAGAATATTGGCATTTTCAGCTCTAACCACACTAGCTGTTTTTGTTGCCTGTGCCTTTAATGCAAATGAGCTAGTTCTCCCCAGCCATCATTCCCACATTCAGAGTGTGTTTCCATCTCCTGCTGCATCGGATAAACAGCACAGTGACAGACATGAAGAAAGCATCTCATGTGACGTTTGTAAGAAATTCTACAGCAAGAACTTATTTTTAGTTATTATTTTTGATGTATTTGTAGTTTATTCAAGCCTTTCTGCAATGACGAGTCACACACAATGTTGTTACAAAATTCGCACACACAGGCACACAGCACATGAGTGCAAGCTTGCACTGTTTTTGCACGACAAATGTGACAGGATACACATTAATATCCACTGCTGCATGGATATCTGTTGTGTTAATACACAAAATAAACCTGATTTAACATTTACAAACTGGAATTAAAGTGTCTTCTTTTATAATTGTACTGGCTTTGGTGATAAATTACAGTAATATTACCATGTTTACTTTATTACAAACATGCACAGTTTTAAAAATGCTTTCAACTTGTAAAACTCATTCTTGATCATATTTGATGATGACTGATGATCACAGAGAGCTGAACAGATCTTTTAATCCCAGTTTAGTTTGAGCATGTCCTGTCTTGCTGATATGATTATACGCGTTACTGCGAAGGCATGTAAATACTTGGCCGTCAATCAATTTGGTGGGTGGGGAAACCACACTCCTATGTCGCGTTGCAATTAGCCTCAAAATGGGAGTGATTTGGATCCTATTTGAATGCGAGGAAATTTTAAAAAAGAGAATTACTTTCTTTATATCACTCCAGTATGACTGTGGACACATTATACCTTATACCTGCTCTCCAAACAGCTTCCAAAAGATTATTTTCATCATAGGTGCCCTTTAAAGTTATTATTGAAACTTTTAGAGGGTTTTTAAGAATAATCACAATGTATTTTTTGCAGTGTTTTTGACAGGACCAAATGCTTAAAGACTTCACATGTAACCTGGCATACTGAAATATTAACTGGAAATTCTTACTCCTTATAGGGCTACTGCATGTAACATTTTGCAATAAGACTCTAATAGTTACATTAGTTAACAAAACCCATGAATAAAGCAACAAATGCTTTATTTATGGGTTTTCATATTACCTCGATAAATTAATAAAATACGGTAGTTTACCGTAAAAATGAAAAACTACTTTTACGTTTTGCACCATGTTTTTAACGGTAAAGTACTGGCAACCACAATTGCCATTTTCTTACAGTATATTTTATGGATTTATTTTTTACAGGTGATGTTAATTTCTTAATGCCTATAATATGTTTAAATCGTAGTCATAATCTAAGTACAAGTAATAATTGTTTTTTAACAATTTAGTAAATAACTAATCATTTCAGTCATATATTCTTATTCAGTTGAAGTCAGAATTATTAGCCTCCTCCTGTTTTTTTCCCCCCAATTTCTGTTAATTCATGAGAAGACGCATATGACTGCAAATTTTGATTTCAAACTTTGAGTTGTATCTGATGTGTTTATCTTTAACACCTAGCCCACCAACCCACCCACACACACACACTACATGATTCATTTAGTTTGTGCGTGTAACTAGTTTCACAGCTTGATACATACCTGTTAGTTCAAACTCCAGTCTGCCAGGCAGTGCTGATCTTTCCATGGCTTTAATGCTCTTTAGTGGCAGACGACCCTTCGGTATAAAACAATGCAACTCAGTGCTGTGACATTGTGTGGTTTTAAAAATTATTCAAATTTGTCAGTTTTAATGGATCATTTAAATGGATTGTTCATCCAAAAATGTTAATTACCTCCTCATTTATTTTCCTTCATTTAGTTTTACACTTTTATAAATGTATCTCTTCTGTTGAACAGAAAGGAAGATATTTTGAATAATGCTGGTTGCTTCCATAGAAGGATTTTTTTTTTGTAAGTAAATTGGTGTCAGCTAACAGCATTTTTCTAAATATCTTCTTTTGTGTTCAACTGAAAAAAAGAAATTGGTTTCGAATGAGGTAAGGGTGAGTAAATGATGACAGAATTTTCATTTTTGGGTGAACTATCCCTTTAAAGGGGTGGTCCAGTACGATATCATGTTTTCAACTTTAGTCGACGTATAATGAAGCTATGTGAACATAAACAACATTTCTGAATGTAATATGCTCAAAATTCAATGCAAAGGGAGACATTGGCTTTTACAGAGTAAAAGTAGCTTAGTAAAGCCTACAGTGAACGAAGTTTCGGGACTACAAAAAAATACATTCGGCCTAGTGAGATCACAAATGCTTCAAGTTATGGCATTCACCACATGCATACACTCCACACAGCAAAGGGGCGTGGCCAGAGGCAATGTAATATTATAGCAGAGAAAGCGAAAATGCCATTTAAACACTTCCACAGAGCTTGTTCTGTTTCTGTATTTGGGCTTTCAAAGGACACAACACAAAGAGAGAAGTGCTTAATTTTAATTATGTTAAAGAGAATTATAAAAAATATATAGCTAGCATTTAACAAAAAACAGCTTCCAGAATCTCTCTCAGTTTATTGCTGGATTCGGCTAAAAACCCCTCAACAAAGGAGCTGTTAAAAAAACATAATAGACAAAGCTGTAGATTGTGAGCCACAACCTGTAAGTATTTTTATTTGTTAAAATGTATCAATTACATACATAGTTACTAGTGTTAACGACAAGGACGTAAACAACGGGAAATGCTGTTTGGCACATTAACAATTTAGCTACAAATTCATATTTATCCACCAAACCGCTGTAAACAGCGACAATCTTCAGCAGCACTAAAATCTATATATGTGGGTGCTTTCCCTTTGTTCTACATCTCAAATAACAAACCCGCAAAAAATATCTGAACATTTCATATTACACATGCTTATTCCAAACATATTTTAAAGACACTTGTCAGATTTTATTTTTGAGAGCAGGCATGAGGTTCAGCTGTGTCAGCTTTTCATTTTCTGTCTGATTAAGATACTGCTAACAGCTACTCTGACTGACAGTGATTACACAGATGAGGCACAGCATTTGCTATTAGAGGCATGACACTTTTCCTGGTGACGTGGAGCCTGATCACAAAGCACAGCACATTATGTTAGCTGACCAATCAGAGCCTCTTAAAAGTGGGCCTTTTGGAAGAACAATATGTCATTTTAATGTAACTAAGTAGCTGTATATAAGTAAGATATATAAAAAAATGATGGGATTTTTTTTAAATGAAGAATGAGCACACATTGCTTTGCATCTTATTAACACAATCAAGCCTTAAAAATACATTCTGGACCACCCCTTTAAGCTGAGGTCAAGTGATAGTGATTCTGGCCTGAAGGTCTTTCATAAAAGTGCCTTAAAATGCAGTCGTTTCTTAAAGAAACTGAATGTTTTAAAGTGCACTGTCAGCACTTTTTTTTTACCAAGTTATCTTTTCAATCAAATATGGTTCACCACATACATATAGGATTGCTGATAGTGCAGTGTTCTTGCAGAGTTTGTTGTTAAGTCAGCAAAATGAGCTCACCTCATATTTCACACGTATGCGATGGCAATCGAGAGACAGAATGAGCAGGTCACTTGGAAAGAGCACAAGCAAACGCTCCTGAGGTCCCTGCAAATGCCGGCTCTGTTGTTTAAAAATAGGTATATTTAGTACCATCCTGAATTACATGGATACCACTCTGTATTTTATCATCTGTATGCTGACCTTTGCATATACGTTGCTGATGTGCACCAGTGAGAGGTATCTTGGATGTCCCATGTGCTGAATGGGGACTCCTTCCCATTGCATGATGGGAGACCGCAGCAAGTATCTTTTCAGCTCCTCCTTTTTCCAGTTTTCATCACACGGCACCTGGAGTGGTGAAAATAAAACATCTGAGCAATGGTATGAAATCAGTCTGCTTCACATTTTTCATTAAGTAAAGAACATTGCATAAAACAGTAAGTAATGAAAACAAATGTCTAAGTTTAGCATGTTTATTAAAATGTTTTGAAGTCAGTTTATATTGTAATTTATGTTTAAATGACTCAGAAGGTTTTTAGGTTACCAATTAACAATTTAAAGCAGCTATGTAATGTTTTACAGTTATGTCAGCTATGGAAGAAAATTGAGACCACCTGAAATGCTGTGGAATTGCAACTTTTGGCTAATGCTTGGCTATTTATTGACAGTGCATCTATGGTAAATATAAAACGAAAATGTTGACATTTAGAGACTGATTTTTACTTAATAATTAAAAGGTGGCCATGTTTTCAGACATGCTTTTATTTGTTACAGCACAAAAAGTTTCAAATTTTGAAGAGTTAAGAAATCTATATTTAGTTTAATTAATCAGTTATTCATTCATTTTCCTTTAGCTTAGTCTATTTCAGCATGTTTCACACAGCGGATGCCACTCTAGCTACAACCCAGTATTGGGAATCACACATACACGTAATCTAGAATGTCTGAAAATTCTTTTCAGCAGTTTTTTAACTCATTCATTGATTATCTTTTCTGCTTAGTTCCTTTATTGATCTAGGATCGCCACTGCGGAATGAACCGCCAACTTATCCGGCATATGTTATAAGCAGCGAATGCCCTTCCGGCTGCAACCCATCTCTGGGAAAAGCAGTTTATTTAGAGAGATTTTTCATAATGAAATTAGATCTTTAGAGGCAATATTTGAAGAAGTATAAGAGAAAACCTTTAAAAAATCTGCATTAGATGAGAAACACCATAATTAGACATTTTTATTGATGACATATTACTGAAAAAATAATGCCTTAAAATGATACATAATTCACTGATTCTCCCTAATTTAAAGATAATATGTACATTTTATGAAAATATGTAGCATTTCAAACACATTATTTTTGTATTTTGTTTTGTTACTTTTTTTCTTCTTATTTTTCTCAAGATTTTCCTATTAAAATCAATGTCATAGACTAAAAGTAATCAAAATGCAATCAATGATAATAGGTAATATATTGGTTGCATCTTGCTAACTACATTTTCTATATCATGTATTCAAAATTAGTTAATCTCGCACTTGTAAATTAAGGCTACGGTAATTACCAGGTATGAGAGAGCACTATGAGACGGGCTCAGCTGTTGTCTTACAGACTTGTATCGCCTGTCCTCAATGTTCTCCATCCAGGCTTTTGTTTCAGCAGCACCAGCACAAATGAAGATCTTCGAGTCCACCATGGGTCCTATAGTGCATCATAAATACAGGTTTATGATGATTAAATAGTTTTTGTGATTTCAAAGTTGTCATATTCAAGTTCAGTTTAGAGATTTAAGCTTAGTTTCTTCCCCTCAGAGAGGCTCTTACCACTAATCTCAAACATATGTGGCGAACTGGAGTCCTGCTGTGGGATCAGATGCACTTCAATGGCTGAGAGAGGAAGAATACCCTGTGACAAAACACAGAAATAACTCTAGACACAGATATTTCCCAATGCTCATATACACAAGGTTCCATATGACCTTTCCAGTGAGTGCACAAAAGTTTCAGAAATGTTTTTTTTTTCCAATAAATGTCTCTTTGAAGAACTATTAAATTTTTTTACATTTTATAATAACTGCACACTACAAATTCTTTATTAAGCATTATCAAACAGTTCATCCTGTCTTAAGTATTAACTCTACATTAATATTAGCAAACAGTTTATAAATACAGCCACAAAAGCTGTATTCTTGGCTTATAAGCACATATATAATGTGCTTAATGATTGTATTTTTATACATTGTTAGTCAATTTTCCTTTATTATTTACAAAAACAGTTATTTAAAAGTAGTTGGTGGCTTTGAGGATAATTCAGAATGAGCAAGTAAATGATTAGGTCAACATTTATGCATCATATTTTTACTGTAGTAATAATATATTAATAAATGCTTTATTAACTCAAATTCCTACAGTTTTGTGCAGAACATCTAAAGTAAAGACTATTTGTGCTTTATAAATCCTTTATGAAGGACAATTAAAGACTCATATACTGTATATTCTATAATCCAAATAAAAAATGAACAAGTGACGTATAGGGATTCAGAGAAAAAAAAATGTTTCGGTAACAACTCACGATATTAACTACTTGCTTATTACCTGCCAATTATTAAAATATTAACTGTTCATGAGTAGTTATAAAGTATGATCTTATTCTGCATCCCTAATACTACACCAAACCTAAATCCAATTATAAACACCTTAATAAACTAGTAATACTAGTTTACTAAACAGTGGTAACGCACCATACCGTACCGTCCCACTCAATTGAAAGCGTCCATTAATGGTTTGTTAATACCTTAAATTGTGACCTAAACTAAAGTGTTAACAACATATTAATTTTAAGATACAAAACTCAAACTGTACAACTTTAGGAAATGGGGAAAAAATTGCAATCTTACCAAAAAATTAAATTATCATACTCTTAAATAAGTGGTTTGTAAGTAATGCAATTAAAATTTAGTAATGAAAACCTTAACATGTATGACAATAAAGTCATTGAGTACATTAATGTCAAAGCTTAACCAATGACGAACTATTTGCTAATGCTTAATAAAGGCGGTGAAGTTATTATAAAGTGTTACCAAAATGATTCTTCTATGGAATTTTACGGAGTCTATTGAGTCTTACCTCGTATATAAAATCACGATTGGAACCGTCCAAAGCAAGGATTAACAAGTGGAAGGAAAATAAAACCAGATATCTTTCGCTCATAGCCTGCAGACAGAAATCATAATACATAGACATGTCCATTAAAGAAAATAAACTTGGCTGCAAAATGGATAGAAACAAAATATGTAGTAAAAATGTATGATTGTCAAATGAACTGTCTAGTATGAATCGGGTTTGTTGATTTGCTACCTTTGTGTATCCACTGTGTAAATAAACAGAAGATGAGTGGATAATGTCTCCATAAGTGTGTGGTGCTCGTCCTTCCCATTCTCTAATAGGCTGAGTATACAGTCTATAATGAAGCTCTTCTTTCGTCCAGCCCCAGACCGCTAGCTGTGAAATGAGAATACAAACATTATTTCCAAGGAATCCAGTAAATGTTTACTTTTTAAGGCAGAATGACGTGGAATTTGGCAAATGTTAGGAAAAAAAGAAGAAGCAAAAGTAGGACTGTACAATGTGATGTGGAATTGTGTGTTAATTAAACCACAAAAAATCGATTCATTGATTCAGTGGTGCAAGGTGCAGTTTTGTTCCACATATTGAAGAATGTATGAATCCCAAGCTTATTTATCTTAAAATGTAATCAAGTGAAATATTCAAAATAATTAAATGATATAAATTGAATGATGATATATAAAATGTGTAATGAGCTGTACTTTTTATTATTTTACAGATTAATTTTTTTAGAGTAATTTTTTTCAGAATTAAAAGTTCAAAATTATTATAATTTTTTTTTTAAGAAGACATTATTTTTATTTTAAGGTATGCCATTTAATTTAATATTCGAAAAGGTATAATAGGTACATTTTAAAAATATAAATAAAATGCAACATAATTAGACAGTTATTTTTTTATTTATGATATTATTGAAAAATATACTACAATATATACTTGTACTATACTATAACTAACAATTTAATCGTTTATTACTTTAGAATTTTTTTGCCTTTCAAACATGCATAAGACCATGTGCATCTTTTTTGCCAACCCAATAACTTTTGCCAACCCAACCTGTAGTCATGGTGCAGTTTTGTTGCAAATATTGAAGAATCCAAATGAAGATAAATTGTATTTATCTTACAATTAAAATTATTTAAACAACAATGTATATAATAATTCTTATTATGACAACCATACTAAAGTTTTGGTATATTTTATTTAGAAAACCTGATCCCCATAAATCCCCAGAAATGTAAAAACCCCACATCTCATTATCTTAAAACTGTATAGAATAGATGTACAATTTTATAATTAAAAGGTGATGATTTAATTGGTTGGTAAATAGTTTTAAGCCTTAACATAAAATAATTAATATCTAAAATAAAATCCTTGCAAAAATGTTGATTACACTTTATTTTATTTTGCAATTCATGCTATTAACAAACCATTAACACGGCATTAACTAAGACTTTACATACTGTCAATAAAGGTCAATAGTAGGTTTATACTTTGGGCAGGTTTAGGGATGTAAAATAAGAACATACTAATAAACAGTTCATGTCTTAATAATAGGCAGGTAATAAGCCAGTAGTAAATAGGCTGAATCATGTTTAATGCATGGGTAACGGTAATTAGTTTGAAGCTAATGAACACATACTTGTGAATTGTTGTGCTTTGAGTCCCTCCTCACAGAAACAGGATCCGGATCCTTGCACAACACAAATGAAGCAATGAAGAGATGCAGATAACATTGATAAACCCTAATTCAGTGCAGACATTGCATTTATGTTCTGTAACTCAACATGAATAATCAAAAATAATTTAAATACTTTAGTGCACATATCCCAAATAAAAAAACACTCTACGCTTTATAATGTGTGTAACACAGAAACATACATGCGACAGATATGTTAGTATGCAAATAATATTCGCCCACTGTGTACATGAATTGTCTATTTTGTTTGTTCAGCTTAATTTTTAGACATGCCATCACACCCTTTACCACTTCCTGTTTTCTGTGTTAACTGGCTAACCTCTTGCTTCAGGTGTCTTACAGAAGGGCAGCGCTGAGGACCTTCATCTGTGCCATTCCTTGTGGAAGTTTGTAGGCGGCTTTCAGCAAGACTCCAGAGCCTGAAACAGCAGATGGCTAAACAGTGTCAAATCACTTCATCTTGCAGCATAATAGATGAGGATTTAAACATGAATGCAATGCAAATTGCTGTGCTTTGCCCTAAATGATAAATTTAGTGGGGAAGAAGCATTGCTTTTCTGTACCACAAGTCTTTTATTTGAATGTTAATACACTTTAAGGTTAATCTGCTAAAAAAAAAAAAACCATTTTATTTTAACATGGAGGGTGAGTAATGATAACAGGTACTGCATCGTTGCTTTTTATTGCTTCATGTAGTAAATAGGATATTCTTCGGTTATTAACGTTCTTAAAACTTTGGTATACTTTATTCTGATGGTCTTCTTTAGACATCTAGTTGACTTGAAAGTGTCTTAACAAGCAACTGCATATAAATGTCCATTAATGGAATATTATTAGAGATTAATTTTTGCTGTTGCAAAAAGGGTGACATTGTTGGCACTACATCACACTTTAAACTAGTGTACTTTATAAAGGATGTTATTATTTTTGGTGCATAAGTACAGAGTCACAGTAAAAAATCTGCAAAAAAGAAGTTCTACAGTGAGAAATTGGATATATATATATATATATATATATATATATATATATATATATATATATATATATATATATATATATATTTATTTATTATGCTCGTTCAAACTACTTATTTAAAATGAGCTAAAACAACACAATTATTAAGATTTCATTGGGACAACTTAATTTTTTTATGTTCAATCCACATACATTTTTCAAAAGTGTTAAGTTAACTTAATGAATTTGTGTGGGGACACCATGAATGAATTGTGTGGAACCCTGCATTTTTTTTACATTGTAAATACAGTAGTATTTCACTGAAAGTGTAAAAAACCACTATAAAAATGCTATGTTCCACACAAATCCTCCATGTTGTCCCAACACAAATTAATTAAGGTACAGTTAAAGTCAGAATTATTAGCCACTTTAAGCTAATTTTTTTTTTCGATAGTCTACAGAACAAACCATCGTTATACAATAACTTGCCTAATAACCCTAACTTGCCTAATTACCCTAACCTAATTAACATAGTTAAGCCTGTAAATGTCACATTAATAAAGATTACTGTCAGTATGGTAAAGACAAAATAAACCAGTTATGAGAGATGAGTTATTAAAACTATTATGTTGAGAAATGTGTTGAGGAAATCTTCTCTCCATTAAACAGAAATTGGGGGGAAAAATAAACAGGGGGGGCTAATAATTCTGACTTCAACTGTAACTGTTAAGTCATAAGTTGAATGAACATAAAACAATTAAGTTGGCCCAAATAACCTTAAGATAAATAAGACTTATTTTTAAGTTACTTATAAATATGTAGGAAGCAGGAAAAGTAATTTTTTGAACGACTTTGTTTCTGTTTTGTAACAAACTTTTTTTTAATTCAATTACAGTTTTTTTTTATTTTTTTATTATTCAATTACAGTTGGAATGAGGGTGTATGGGTGTTTACCAGTGATAGGTTGCAGCTGGAGGGGCATTCGCTGTGTAAAACATATGCTGGATAAACGTGGTGAACCCTGAATAATAGGGGACTAAGCCGAAAAGAAAATGAATGAATGAATTAATGAACGAAAACAGTTGCATGTTGTGCAATGCCATCTCGTAGAGGAATGCTTTTACTAAAGGCAACCTTTTTCTTTGATACACCTCAGTCTAACACCATGTGTTTAGCACAGAAGACCCTATAAGCCAGAATCTTTTAGGGTGTACAAAAAATAAAAATGAAAAATAAATAAATAAAAACATAACAGAATGGGAAGTTTTTGCATGAACCAGGTAGTTAGGAAATACTTTACCCCTATTTCATTTACTTGACTGCATTCACACGTTCACCAACTCTGAAGTGATGAAAGCTAGTTGACAGCCACATCAAGTGCTATATTCATCAAAATTCAACAACTCCCAGTTCCTGAACTCTGTACGCACTGAATAAAGCAAGTACTTCAGCCAGAAGTTATAGGAACCAGGGGTTTGTAACCATGTGGGCGAATTCACTGTTATCAGTTCTGCCCTTTGAGATAAAAACCATGTGCTGTACTTAGTTTTCCAGAACCAAAATGAACATGGTCTAGTCTGAGAAACATTTGTATCATTTTAAGTTTCTACAAATTTAATTCAAATCATTTTTTTCTATACAGCGCTTTTTACAATTGTGTCAAAACAATTTAACATAGATGAAGACGAAAAAGCCATAACAATATTTTAGATTATGGAACATTTCATTAAGTAGAAGAGTAATGGTATATAGAGAATGATGGTGTAATTTGAATTAAATTAAAACTGATTCAGTTCAGTTTAGTCACCACTGAGGTTCAGTTTATTTTAGATCAGTGTAATACAAAAGTCAGTATCAGTCTATAGTCACCCTAAAAGCATTAACAGTAAACATTAACAAACATTTTGTATGAGGTTTGCTCCCTAAACGTGGCTTATTTCTTCCCCAGACCCTCTGTTCCCGCTGATTTTACTTATGCTGCTTATTGGGGAAGTGCCCAGACATAAGCAGCTTACAGTAGGAGGTGAACAACAAGCAGACACCTGCCATCTGACCCTCGATGGGTGCTACTCTTCAAACTACACTTAAAAAGCCAATATAGAGTCTTTAATAAAATAATGCAAGAACCACAACGGGTAATTTAACTTTATTACTTCTCCAAACAGACCACCAAGCATATCTGTGCATGTGCGTTAACAACCTGTGCATATTTTACCAGATTGCCCGTTGTCTGATCCCCATTTTTCTGCTAGTTTGGCCACATAAAGCTTATGAGCTCTGATTAACTCCTACTCTAATCCCTACAGTCTCCTAATGAGAGGATTGAGGCTTCCAACTCGAGTAAGACAGCAGACTGCTCAAACACACTTGGCTCCTTTAATTAGCTATACTAGTTGCATTAGTTCTGCCTCATTGGTGTAAGAGAGGATATAATGAGATCTGTAGCTGCAAGTCTGCTGCCCAGCCACGGTAACCACAGGATAAAACAACTCAAACTTACAAAAAGAGTTTCACTGAGTTTCATCAGATGCATTCCGAACAAACAGAATTGAGCAGAACAGTTATAAGGTGCCTGGAAACTACCTCCTGACTGGTGGAAACTCAAACTGACACCATTAAGATGATCCATGCATTAAAGGCATAGTTAACCCAAAAATTAAACTTAACTCAGAGTTTCTTTCTTCTGTTGAAGACATTTTGGTATAATACAGGTTGCTGGCATCCATAGTAGGAAAAAAGTAAATGTGGAAGTCTAGTTGGTGCTAGATATGTATGAACATTTTTTAAAGTATCTTATTTTGTGTTCATTAGAATAAAGAAACTCAAATAGGAATAAGGAAGAATTTCTATTTTGGGTGAGCTATCCTTTTAAAGTGTCTACATAAATATACACTCACATGATAACGAACAATTAACTCTTTATTATCATCCAAACATCATGTGGTTTTTGAATTGTTATCAAACATTACCGAACTCCCTGAAAGGAGGAAGTTCTGCTGCTAACTATAGAGATTGTTTTGTTTTTTTTAGCCATAAAGCATGAGCAAAGAATCAAGCAAATCTTACCCTGCATTGGAGATCTCCAAGAGTTCAATCTCATCTGGGCCCACTTCATCAGTCCCCGTATGCCTTTGGGTAACACTGCAGCATCCCATCGCTCGCCTGCACCTTACCTCTCCTTTCCACACACACGTCCCCAATGGCTTCTCCTCAAAACTACACACTGAGGGCCATCTGGTCGCCCCCACAAACCCCACACCCCAACTGACTATAAGCAGGGTTCAAGAATGAGATGAGCAGAATGCAGTAAATGAAGTTGGACAGACACAGAGCGCATTAATGAGGAGCAAGTGCTACATGAAACTATCAAGCACAAATGCTGCTCTATTTCCTCCTGCTGGTTTGAATGGTGACGCAGCAGCGGGCAACACAACTTCCTCAGTTTGCAAGTGAGCTTGAAATGTTTGTTTCGACTTTGATTTTGCACAAAGAGGGACGCAAGCAGCATCAGTAAAGCAAATCCCACCTAAGATGATTACACCTCAGAAAGGTAAGCAAAAAAAAAGTAGTCACAACAATGAAACCACAGCTGAGACCTGTGTTTATTGGCGGTGAGGAGCATGTTAGCATGTTAGAGGTCTAATCTGGTGTTTGTTTTGTCGCTTGTGCCAGAGATTGAGGAAGAGGGAGGATCTACAACGCCACAGACACAAAGCTGAGTGGGTGTCTGAACTGAAGTCAAGAGAACTTTCAAAGCACTTCAAACGTCATTGAAAAAGTTTGTGAGAGTTTGTTTAAAAAAATTGTGAAGAGCGGAAATATCATGCTTTATTTTTTATGCTGTGGTGAAGGCATAACCTCACACAAACCAAAACACTTTTTAACAAGTTACTTTTCTATATATGGGCCAAAGATAAAAGAGTCTTCTAAGCATCTAAACAATTAAAGTGTACAGCAGATATCTTTTACATTACATATTTTAGAATACACACACTATAATGCCATTCTAGATAACACTATTTATTTACCCAAAAATATATTGACATTAAAAATTACAGTGTATTAAGGCTGACATAAGGATCAGGAGTTTCATACAATTCCTTCATGTTGTCCCAACACAAAACAATAAGTTGACTTAATTTTTTTTACAATTTTAAATGGACTGAACAGATCACATTAAGTTGTCCCTAAAGAGTCTGAAATGTGTTGATTCAGCTCCTTTTAAATACGTAGTTTGAACAAGCAGCAAAACCTTTTTTGAGTGAAGATTTAACAAGACATTTTTAAATTGCTTTAAATATGATAAAATGTAGCATGCTCCACATAACAATAATCACTTATTCTTTTTAAAGTGCTCCATTATGGATTATGAAAGGTTCATATTTAAATTGTTCGAGTCCCCAAGAACAGGTCAACATGCATGTTCAAAAAAAAAAAAAAAACTTTACTATGTATTTATTTTGGCCTTTTTAGCTAAATAACTTCCAAACGAGTCACTGAAAAAAAAAATTTTTTTTTCAAACTCCTTCTTTGCCAATTTGCTGTGATTAGTCTGATGAGCCAGTCTGTTGTGATTGGTCTAATGGTCATTTTGGTAAACAAACATCCATCACTGTTACTGGATTACGGCTTTTCAAATGTTGAATATATAGTTTATGAACAGACAACATGGCTTTATTCTTGCCTTATTAATACATGCTGTTTGCTGTGAAATGCTGCCATGAAGTTTTTCTACAGGAAATTGTTAACACTGAAGATTTGGGCTTTACTCGTGTGGTATTGGTGTAAAAAGGTACTTTTCACAGCCTAGTCCAACATAAAAATATAAATAGGATTTTCCCTCAGAGTGCAAAGCACAGAAACTTCTCGGCATGATATTGTCTAGATAGAACATCAACATAAAACAGGTCGGAAGACATTTTGAAATGGCTCATTTTAATGACTCTGTGTTGACTTTTAATTTAATAGGCAATAACTTTGTACATTGTGCTCTTTCAGAATTAAAACTTTGAATGTTTTCATTCACTTAGAGCTGTGATAAACTGCAGGAAAGGTCATTTTTTATAAACCATATGGGTCAGAAAAGTATGTTTATGCAAGTTTATTTAATTTTAATATACATTTTAACATCTGAATTAATCATTAGTTTTTCAATAGTTCAACTTCAGTTAACTGTACATTATATATTTATTAATTAAAGCAAAACATGAGTTTTCCTAAAATTGTTGTGTACATGTGGTCTTTAGAACTTCTAATTCTAAAGCATGTATGTAACAAATACATATAAATATACTGAAATATACAGTATAGAGTTGAAGTCAAAATTATTACATTCCTGTGACTTTTTTTAATTGAATAAAAAATAAGTACTTCAATTGTAATTGTTAACACATTTTTAAACATAATAGTATTATTAAATAATTTCTAATAAATAATTTATTTTGTCTTTGCCATGTTGACAGTACGTAACTTTTTTGTAGTTAATCTACAAGGTACTAATCTTTTTAGGTACTGGTGGCAATTTAAAGGCTTAACTTTATCAGGTTAACTATGTTAGGTTAATTAGGCAAGTCATTGGACAACAGTGGTTTGATCTGTAGCCAAATGAAATAAAGAAATCTTAAGGGGGCTAATAATATAGACTTGGGAAATATTTGAAAAAAGTATCAACATTTCCATAGGAGGCTAGTTTTCCTAATGATTTGCTTTGACATGATACTTCTGGTGACGATAAAAAAACTCATGGAAGAAAAAAAAAACAGAAGCAAATTGCTATTCTTCCAAGAATGAACTATTTTTATTTTATTAATTTTAGCACAGTTGTCATCCATCCTCTTCCTGTTCCTTTTCTTTTGGCTTTTTCTTCATGTCCCTGCAGTGTGAAAGAAGCCTGGCTCAGTCAAATGAATCTTGGTCATCTTTAGGTTGCAGCTCAAATGCTCCATGTTGTCAGTCTGTCGACCCTGAGCTCCAGCTTTCAGTAAAGAGTTTGGGCCTTTATTCAGGGTTAGTGTTACACTTTTACACGGCTGTGGAAGAACACTTACATTGGATATGCACTTGCTGAGCTGCAGCTCCACACGGACTGGTTTGGATTGCTTCATTTCTTGAAACTTTAAAAGAGGTTTCTGGAATACAACTGCTGTAGCAGATTGTTGTTTTATTGGTAAGTCCACAGGCTGCTGTAGAAGTGGACTAGTATTGGACACAGAGGAAGAGAGGATGCTGGTGTATGGGACAGAACCTTTGGTTTGCGTTTCAGAGCTCTTGCTGCCTCTATTGGTTGATTTCCCTGTTTGTGTTGCTAAGGCAGAGTTTTTGTGGGTGGAGGTGCTTTTTGGGTAAAGGGTTGAGAAGGGCATGGCGGTTTTCTGTTTTTGTTTGGTTAATGTCATAGTCTCACTACTGTACAGCAACAGAAAGTCTTTTTGACTGCGTAAAGGTAGCAGGTTCAGTCCACAGCAAGACTTATTGAAGATTTCCAATGAAAGGTCTGAAATGAAAGGATGTGACATCTACATCAAGTGTTGTCACACCTCCTTTTAACATGTACGGTTGTGACAAATATGTTTTCACACCTTTCACACAATTGCATTATTCTTAGTAGCTGAAACATTAAGTTTATTTAAAACAACATTTCAAACTGCTGCGGATGCATTTAAACATATGTTCAACAAATGTTGTGCATTTAGAGCTGTTATTTATACAACAAAGAACTCACCCAGAGTTTCAGTGACCGTCTGTGGTATCACATCTTTTAATACTTCACAGTTAGTATGCAGGGCTGGGTTACAATTCATCTCTAGCAACCAAACCTGCACAAAACAAGCACATCACAGTCAAATGACTTCTCAGATTACTAAGATAAAAGGAACACTTTTCACATATGCAAACTTGAAGAGACCAGAATAAAAGCCTTTTGGAGTTATATTCTGAATGTCATAATCTTATCGAGTATATTTGAAGATTTGGTCCCTTTATAGACCTTTTTCTTGGAACGCAAAATTACCCATTATGCTTTGCGTGTATGCGCAAGGAGAATGCGAAAAACTTCCGGTCGGCAGCTGTTGCGTGTAAACAGTCACATTTGGACAGCTTTGAAACGATAGTTTTAATCTATTTTACCTGCTTTTAGCCTCTTTGAACTAATACTGTTATCAGCACCATTTCCTGGACTGATTATTTAAAGAAATGCGATCTAATAGGATGGAAAACAGCTGCTGTGAGGCATTTTTCCCCTCGTTGTCAGACGGCATCTTCTGCAGTTTAAATGAAGCCTTGTCATCGCTAAAGTCAACATTTTCCCTTTTTTTCAAATATATAACCAGCCCAAACAAATGTAATTCACCAAAATGTTTGACACACACACGTAGCCTGTACTGTGCCACTGACACACTGATTTAATAACTGTGACAAAGTGAAAATATAGGCGAGTGTCTTTTCAAAATGACCGAAAAACACAAACCGTGGTGAATACAACACACAAAATAAAACACAAACGGCTCACGATTAGAGTGAACAGCAAATCAGCCAGCAGAGAATCAATAACAGACTTTTATTGGTCATTTTTGTAAATTGCACGACTTTCATACCTGTTAAGTTTCATGCCAGTACTCTGGTTTGCTCTCTCTCTGTGTGTGCGTGTGTGTGTGTGTGTGCATGTGTGTGTTAAAGAGCTGCTGAGCTAACAGCTGACAGGCCAGGAACGCACACACACACACTGTATTTCTGACGGCAGACACGTTGTTACAGTCATATGTATATGCCTGTTTGTTTTGCTTGTGTGTGTGCGCTCTCTTTCTCTCCCTCTCTCGCTCGCTCGCTTGCTCCCTCCTCCTCTCTCTGTCAGTTCTCAGGTTCGCCCATTCCAGTATCCCATTCGTCCGTGAAGACGTCAATCTCAATTACACCTTGTGACGTCATCACCTTCACAACCAATCAGCACAGGAGCTCAAAGTTTAAAAGGGATGCGAGCGGGGAAGGTCGTTCTGCAGACCGGCGGGTGGCAACACTGAGTTGTGAATGAGACCAAGATGGGCGGAAGGGAAGTAGAATCCGGAAGTGAGTTGGATATGGAGGATGAATTAGATGGCGGGGAAGATGAAAGAAAAACAAGTAGCAAGTGGACTTTAGTAGAAAAGCGAAAAAGGAGAAAAGATTGGAGCCAGACTTCAGGAACAGAGAGTGAGAGAGAATGTCACCAGGTGAGCAAAATAAAGCAGGAGTATAAAATAATGGTGAAATTTTTGTCAGGGGACGCAAGTAATTTGAATCCTTTGAAACTGACAAAATCTTTAAAAGAAACAGTTGGAAACATAGAAAGTGCAAAAATGCTGAGAGATGGGAAAATGATCATTTTCTGTAAAGATAGCAAACAACAAAAAGTTGCTTTAGGGTTAAAGTCTATATTAGGACAAAAAGTCACTAGTCAAATAATGGGAGAAAAGAAATGGACGAGAGGAGTCATTACGGGAATACCAACAAATATAGCTGTAGAAACAATTAAGAAAAGCATTACGGGAGCAAAAGTGATAGATGCAAGGAGACTAAAAATAACCCGAAATAATGAGAGAAGTGACAGTCTGTCGATAATGATACACTTTGACGAGGAGAAACTGCCGGAAAGAGTGTATGTTGGATTAATGAGCTATGCAGTAAGACTGTTCATCCCCCCCCCGCTAAGGTGTTACAAGTGCCAAAAATTTGGACATGTTGCAGTAGTGTGCAAAGGAAAACAACGATGTGCAAAATGTGGAGGGGAACATGACTACGGAAAATGTGAAGAAGGTGTGAAACCAAAATGCTGTAATTGTGGGGGAGAACATAGCGCGGGATATGGAGGTTGTCAGGTGAGGAAAAGTGCTGTAAAAGTTCAGAATGTTAAGATCTCTGAAGGAATAACATATGCAGAAGCCATCAAGAAGGTTAAGACGGAAGAAAAGAAAGAAACAGAAGTTAAGGTTGTAGACACAAAAATGAGAAAAGAGTGTTTGGTTCAAGAAATAGATAATTCCATGAATATTCAAAATAAGATGGAATTTTTGACCTTTATGGTAGAAGTGGTAAATTGCTCGGCCCAAACTGAAAGTAGAACAGAAAGAACAAGAATAATTCTAAGAGCAGCGGAAAAGTACTTGAATGTTGTAGGAATAACAGTTAAACAGATAAATGAGAAACTAAAGACGAATGTAGCAATCTCTCAGTCATCATGTGGAGAAGTATAATGGTGTTTTTAATCTTGCAGTGGAATGCAAGAAGTCTGATATCAAATGGATTAGAATTTAAAAAACGGATAGATGATTTTAAGATAAAACCACATGTAATATGTGTACAAGAATCTTGGCTAAAACCCAATTTAAATTATGTGGTTCAAGGATACGAAATAGTAAGAAAAGATAGGAAAAAAGGAAATGGGGGAGGAGTGCTTACTTTAGTTAAGGCAGGGGTTGCATACAGGGAGATAAAAGTAAACGAGGAATATGAATCAATAGTAATAGATGTAAGGGCAGAAAATCGTAACATAAGAGTGATAAATTTCTACAACCCCTGTAAGAGATTGAATATCGATCTAACTAAAAATATAGGAATAGAGGGACATGATAACATAATATGGTGCGGAGATTTTAATGCACATAGTACCTTGTGGGGATGTGTAAATAATGATCAAAATGGGCAGGTAATAGAAGAAATATTAGATTCCAATGAGTTAGTATGTTTAAATGATGGAAAAATAACAAGAGTGGATGTATTAAGAGGAAGAAATTCAGTCATAGATTTAACAATAGTATCCAATAACTTAGCAAGGCAATGTGAATGGGAAGTCTTATATCATAGTACTTTAGGGAGTGATCATTATCCTATAAAATGTTCAATAGGGGTAGAAGTAGATGAATGTCATGAGGAGAAAATGACAAGATGGAGATTTAAAGGTGCTAATTGGGAAAAATTTAAAGAGATTTGTGAAAATAAAATGCTTAGTACAAAATTTAACTTTGAGGAAATAGAAGATACAAATAACAAAATTAATGCAGTTTTATGTAGTGCAGCACAAGAGGTTATAGGGAGAAATAAAGGGGGGAAAATTAAAAAGGCTGTACCATGGTGGACAGAAAAATGTAATGAGGTAATTAAAATCAGGAATAAAGCTTTAAAAAAAGTTAAAAAGACATACTCTTTTGACGACTTTATAAAGTATAGGAGAACCCAAGCAGAAGTAAGGAAGGTAATAAGGACAACAAAAAGAAATTATTGGAGAAAATTCTGTGATGAAATTGGCACAGATATAGATATAAATGATATGTGGAATATGATCAAGAAAATGGGTGGAAAGCAAATAAATAAAA